GATATTTAATATATTTTTAAGAGAAATGATGTTGTTGGGTGATATGCCGGCAAATAAGAGAATTATCCAGTTGACTCAATACTCTATTTTCTTAATCTGAGGGTGACGATTTGTGCATGGAGACGCTTACTGTAGGAAACTAAGAAATACCTGATTACATATTATTTTTAACGCACTAACTAGTCTGAACATTTTGAATAATATATATATACGGTAACTAATTGTACTGTATATATACATTATGCAAACTGTTCAGGTTAGCTGCACACTGCATTTAATATTTATTAACATAACATTCGGCTAATTAGCCATATCACAGAGAGTTCATTGATAAACAGTCACGTCAACGCATTTGCAATTCGCCTAGTATTGCGGGTGCTCGATAGTAATCACTTACTATCAGGTGAGCCGTTCATTCGTTCTATATACTATAAGAAAAAATCATAAATATGTAACTTCTAACATCAACTTGCTGTGCTCAATCGAAGTCCTACATTTTACAAGTAAGAAAAAAAAACATTTTCAATACTTTTTAGTTTTAAGTTTAATTATACTTAAAAATAGACAACTTTTACATTCAAATAGGCACTGAAATGGCTCTATGTCAGAACCCTAAACTTATCCTTCTTGAAAAACCCCATGCGTGTAGTTTCAAGAGAAACACTAGGCAGGTAAATAGTTTGACAATATAAGTGTTATATAAGTCTCGTGTAGCTCTTTATCAAAATATAACATACGTATGAGGCTAAAATTCGAAATAGAAAGTATGAAGTGAAATTTCTTATAAAAAAAAGATCTATATATATATATATATATATGTTGAAAACCCATACGTAATTCATTGTAAATGTAAAAACTATAAAAATAAAACCCATTTAATAGTGGTATCGCTTCTGAAATGGAATTATTCAGTGCTCTATGGTCCGACCTATGAAAAAGCATATAGAGAATACCTCAACAGATTATCAATATATGCAGATGGGCGGACTAAACAATCACGTTGTGTTGGATACAAGGCATATCTTGCTGTGGAAATATGTTTATATTAATTGAAAATAGAGTACAAGAAATAGTGAATATTATTTATGTCTCTGAATTATTGGGAACATACAAAATGAAGGGACAATGCAGCAGACTCTGCCACTAGGTTTATATGCTTTCTAATTTTCCATAATTATGGTGGGAGTCCTCCATATTAGCTAAAAGAACAAAAAGCAGAAGATACAGACATATGAGGGAGAAGAAAAACAGGCAAACATACACCATTCAAACATAGTTTATATATAAAGAGGAACTTTAAAAAAAAATTCACATGCGTTGTACGAGTATTAAATTGGTTATTACGTTACCTAAAGAATGTGTGCGTTAAGAAGAAACCTACATGCAGCAAACATTCAACTTTAAATGAATTGAAACAAAATCATAATATTTTAATAACTATATGACGACATTTTACTTTTACAAAAAAGTTGTAACGTGAAGATAGAAGTAACTGTTTAAGTATTACACCATTTTTTTATCACAGTGGTTTATTGAGTATTGGCGGATGGTTTTATTAATTTAAGATACCAACACATAACCGATTTTTAATATATAAAGCTTATATTAAAACTATTCATGCCAGAGTTTCGACAACATTAGCCCATTTACGTACTAAGCTAATACTTACTGGTACCAGAATAGTAAAAGGTAAAATTAACGATGTGCAACATTTCGTTGCTGTAGAACAAGCAGAGCTTATGTCGAATTACCTTTCGCTCCAGTAACTTTGTCCAAATCATTTACATATTCAGATGTAGATTTTAAAGGGAGGTCAGCAGCTGGAGGTAAAGTGCAATAAAGGTAGAGGAATGAATACTATTAAGGTCAATATAATTACAATATTCTGCGCTTCTTGGAGGAGCTGGCTACTTTAGTAGTATCGGCTCTACACGCACAAAGGCTCAAATGAGAGGCTAATAGCGGAGAATAGAGTCCACATTACTTTACATTATAAGGGCAATATAATTTGTATTTGTATGCTGCAGAACAATAGGTGTACACTTGGTTAGTGTGTGGTTTGAGCACTGCTACTTTTCTTGCTACCTTAAAACTTTTCTGTGCTGGCGCGCCACACCAACAGGCATGTACAGTGACAATGGCATCAATTTTGACAGTACAAAGGAATACAGAAAAGTGATATTTTGTTAGATGTGAGCTGATGGATGAACTTTCAGAGTTAAGTGTTACATGGTATTTCAATTCTCCTTATTTGCCTTCCGCTGGGGTCTTCTGTTTTCCAGCGTCCGCACCAAGAAAAAACATCTGAAAAAATTACTTGGGGAACAAAAATTTACCTGCCAGCAGTTAAATACCCTTCTTACATAAGGTGAGGTGTTCCTTAACTCGATACCATTAGTACCTTACTTACTACTTAGGAGTAGATATAGGGGATGATCACTACAATTGGTTTATAATGATATATGTTGTTCATTAAATAAAAGGTACATTCCGTTCTGAGTATTTACTAATTGCTAATGATATTATTGTCGGCCTCAGTGGTATATCGGTTTAGCTCTACAACTCTACATAACGGATGGTCGCAGGTTCGGTTCCTCACAAGGTGCAAAGATTGGTATTAGTGATTATTTGTATCTGTCTGGGTGTTTTGTATGTACATATATTACAAATGTATTTTAAAAAAATCTGTATATAGTAGAATTCATTTCCAACGAATTCGCTTCTAACGACTAATTATTTCTTCTCTTTATTATGATGATACATGCGCTGTGTGGATACCGCGCGGTCAAACTAAACAAATTACATAGACATATATTATGGTATGTACAGTACTTAATCCCTGATCACTTCTTAGTGGGTAGGCCAGTATTATCAGATCCACTCACTCCGAGATAGACCCATAGAGATACCAACTATGTTACCAGATAGCAATTTACAGAGAAGATGCATAGAGATATTTGGAAATTGATGATAACGATGATTGATGTTCTGAACAATGCCTACATACATTACAAACACTTAACAAATTAAATAGACCAAGACAGGACATCAAAGTGGGAATATAGTACAACTGATGGAAGATAACTTGCACTCAAGTAAATTACTATTAGATAAGGCCACTGGCCCTGCAAAGAATTTCAAGTAGGACCTTAAAAACTAAAAACCATTTAGTTCACAAATCAACAGACTATTAAAAAAATATTACTATACCAATAATTTATTAATGAATGGAATGATGAATGACAGTAATCAAACGGAAAACAAAATCCCTGAGTATCTCGTTCCCATTGAGGTAAAGGAAACAAGAACACACGAGAGTAACTAATAAAATAACGTAATATTTGATATCAAATTGCATATTATAAGTAACATACAATATGAAGTAGATATTATATTCTGCCACTACCTAAAATAACGGATCAAACTGCCATTACAGTAATTCCCACGTCAGATTATCTAGCTCCAAATATCGAAAAAGATATTTGAATGTATGAAAACTTAAATATTTGTATTCAATTAAACATAAACAACAATAAAATACATCATGGTATGAAAGTTGCCGAAATAATTTTTCATGTAAATAATTGAAACTTATCTAATTGTCACACATCGATATCGATACACAATGATCAAATTACCCAACAGAGATGCGTCTTACACATATTGTCAAGAATGCGCAACTCGCTTTTTCTGCCCAGATGGAATGACGCTTTAATCCCTGCGTGGTGCAGGTGTTATCACTCTAGAGCAAGGTTGCATTATTAAAGGAGACAACTTGCGATACACTCGCATCAACATAAATGCAGAGACAAATTTCAGCTCTCGACAGAATTCGGTATTAATTATATTTTATATTGAACACATAAATTTATTGAAAGTTATTTTCCTGAGTATCATTCAAGAAGTCTCGACTTAATAAAATATATAATAATATATATACATTTAAAATGTGCGCGTTCAACTCGGCCCACGTTTGGACCTGAGTGCATTAGTGTTGTGAGTGAAAGAAATTCTTGTGAAAAACTATAAGGCTACGTCAACTACTCGGGTGCCTGTAAGAAACTTCTAAATAATATTTTACTTGTAACACTTAGATAGCATTCTCATTAAATTACTTACTCTAGATAGCATTCTAATTAAATTACTTTACATAAGGACTATGTATTAACTAGCATGTTCTTAAATCTATAACATTCTTTGTGTACAACAATAGTCATAATTTAATATTCATATTTTTTAATTTTACATCCTTTTCGTATTTGACAAGGTTCATACCTTTTTAACTTTTTTGTTTTGACAGCATCTTCGAGCTAGCTGCAGTCAATATAATATTAAGTAATGAGCTTACTAGGCGTTCCTGTGTATTCGCCGTATATTGTCATTGTCATATAACAGTGCTAATAAATCACTCAACACAAACAGTCGCTGTAAACCACAGCGACTGTTTGTGTTGAGTGATTTATATATTTTATATATATAGTTAAATGATTGTGTAAACAGCCCGAACACAACACAGATTTTTAGTAAAATATACCATAAATTGTGTTGGCTAAATATTGGGATTGGTAATAATCACAGTTATTATAATTATTAATGCGTTATTTAATTTATTGTGCAGGAAATTTTATTTAAATATGAAACAATTGCTTAAAATATTTATTTATAATATACTTAAGAATTTGTTTTAATAGTATTCGACATATGTAGACGGAGTCTATGTACCGACGACTTCACCACAAATCAGTATATTTAGAATTAATCGATCGCAATTAATACATAATATTTATATCAGTACAAGTTTTGAGCATCGTAAAAAATAACATTAGGCATATATTAGTAAGGTATTTTTCTTATTTAGATACTAGTACTTTTACAGGTCAATGGAATACTAAATTAAAGAAGCATTTATATAATCGCTCTTAGCTATGTTTTACAGATAAAAAATAAACGCAACCTACGTGTATTAAAATATTTGAATATTTTTTTTCTATTGTTTGCAGATATCAACATGAAGTCCGAGAAGCAGACCAATATGACAAAAGCGCCAAGCGTGTTTTCAATCAGCCAAGATGGCAGGTAATGGAATGTTTCAAGTATTGGTAGATAGGTACCGTTGCACTGCGGCGTGATAACGCTGTGCCTATAGTACTCGCATGTGCATGATGTGTACTAAGAATATACTATTTATCCTTTTTATTATTTGCAATGCTTTTTGAAAATATCTATAATGATAAATAAATACTTTCATAGTTTTGTTTGTTCAGTATTCGTTCTATATTTAAAGACCGCAGAGACCTTGTCTCCCTCTGTCGCTTGGGTTACAAAGCGCGATAGCGATACCTTAAATCAAAATTTTGCCGTAAATATTTATGTCCCGCTCTACTCGGGTTACTCGGTAAATGTAAAGGATGTTTTCATTATAATACCAATGTCTTACACATTTATTTTATTTTTATGCGTTCCTGGATTGTTCTAAAGGATAAGGTAAACATAGTTGCTTTTTTATGAAAATATCGATTTTATGGGTCGGTATAATATTTAAAGAAAACCTAACTAATGTGAAACGTCGATATTTGTTTCCTTATAGGACAAAATTTTATCGACATTAATTAGTTAATGTAGAAAATTTTCATACTAGCACGTTTTCTTTGAAAAAGGGGTAATAAACACGCAGTCTCAAGTATAATCTCCATATACACTACTATAACTGTATCATTCACATAGATCTATACATAAGTACATGCAAGTCGAGTGTTAGATGTTAGATGATAGATGTGTAAATAGGTGTATCTGGTGACCATTTGATTAGGTACTGTTATCTAGTGCTGGATGACAACATAGCACTTAAGTATTTTAACGTCACAGAAAATTTTAATCGTAATGCCTACTTAGAAAAAGTAGGTATTACGATTGTGCGTACACTTGACATTAATAACTTTACCCAAGGTGCAATTTTTAACAAACGGTACGGTTGTTTAAAGGCTAGTCTTTTAATCAAATTTGGTTATAAAACAATTTATAATAAGATAGATATTGTTAACTACCTAAGCCGCATAACTTCATCTGGATCACATTTACTTGACATTTATCATTATGTACATAATTCCAGTTTATAATATTACTAATAATATGGTAACCGTACAGTATTTTTCAACTTACTGTAGGTTGTTGTATTTTTATTTTATTAGTTTTTCTATTCTGTAATAATTTTTTTTTATGTTTGCTTACAGAATGTAGAAATTAAACTTAAGTGTTTCTTAACAATTTGTAAATGGTAACCTTTAGAAAACAAGTAATAACAATATTCATATTAGTTAAACTGAGAACTCGTTGCAAACTTCATCTAGATAATATTTCTCAGTAGATAAAGAAGTGACATTTTATGATTTCTGTTTCTTTTCCTCACTCAATTACATAGCCTATAAAAATATAATCTCAATGTTTGGTAGCCAAATGTAAAAGTTAACACGCTGATTACAGCTGCTTGGATATATTATGTTAAGTTCTAAACAAATAATAACTAAATAGTTTTCTAAGCTGGAGTGACGTTGGGCCTGATAATGCGAATACTACTTATCACATATTGTTTACGTGCGGTGCGTATGTGTAAACGTAAAATAGAATTCACAAAGTGACGGACGGAATCGGCAGCGGTTGACGAACTAGTGTTGGCGAATAAAAATATTTCAAATTTAAATCTACATTGTATTACTTATTTTGTTTGTCCATCGTTCTTTTTATAAATATTGTATTATAATATATCTGTTATATATATTGTATTATTATATATAATGTAATAATCAACAACAATCTCAGGACAATTCACAGTGCTGTCTAGACCCAAATTAAGCTATCTAGAGCTTGTGTTATGGGTACTAAATAACTGAATAAATAATTTTTTTTTCGTTAATACTATATATATATATATTAATTAAATATTAGTATACATATAAAAAACCCAGACCGATACAAACAATCATACTCATGAATACAACAGTTTGTGCCATGGGAGGAATCCAACCCTCGACCATCGGAAGGGCGGCGAAATATTTATGTATAATTATATGTCACTTTTGACTATTTCTGTGCGAGGGAATTGGGAATTGTACACATATGAAACGAAAAGAACAAATCTGGAAATAGAGATAGACATACAAATAAAAGAAGAAAACTAGAACGAAATTATACGGAACGGAAGTTATGGAATAATATTTATGGAATTTACTAAAAATGTAATAATCACGGTAGCAGCAAAAAATAAATATATCTACATGTATAGTGGTTATATAACCAACGTTACATAATTAATAATAAATTTTATTTAAATTAAATAATATATTAAAAAAGTACTCTGGTATTCCGTAGTAAATCATTAATTAAGGTAACAAACCTGAAATTTAATATCCGAGAATATGTATTATTAATAAATATATATATACACAAATATATAATACGATGATTCAGCTTTTTAACAAATATTTTTTATGATGTGTCGAGAATACAACCTTATTATTGAGATTACAAACATAAATACCGCTCTATAATCTTATTACAACTAATATGTATGTTGTTAATTAGACAACCCTAAGTTTTTAATAAATTTCTCATGTTTAAATATATAACAATGCTTATTTAAAATATCTGCGGTCTGTTGGTATGTTGGCAAGAAATCAAATTCTACATATGTATATGACCATTGCGTACCGCCTCCTGCAAGGAACGACAACGCCTATCTATATGCTTAGTCCTAGCATGGAACATACGATTTGCAGTAAGTTTTACTGTAGACTGATTATCATTAAATATAACTGTGTTATTAATTGTACGTCGAGGAAAGTATTAATGTACATTGCTGCTTTACAAGCACTTCTAGCACGTCAGATACTCCGCCTTGGTAGTACATAAAGTAACAGTTCAATAATTTGCTTGGATTCCTCCTAGACTACAAAAGATGGCCTGCATTTTTTCTTTCACTTTATTCTGATACATACAGTCATTAAAAAAACTTATATATAATACATTATTACTAAAAAAACAAGACACTGATTGTCGAAACTTAATGTAAAACTGATATTAACTAATATAGTTGCAGTGATTTTTGAACATAAATATTAATTGACGACGAGAATACATAACAGAAGCTTTAGATAACTTAACTAGATAGCGTGTGAATTATTATTATTATAAATTATATTATTAATAATTGATTTATTAAATAAAATTACATCAAAATAATGTTGTAAATAGTACGGGAATGACAATGACCTCATGCCTCGTGCTGGAGACCAAGTATCTATGGCGGATTGTAACCCTGGGAAGGCGCGTGGCGGTCGAACCGCAGGTGTCAAGGTCGTCGGCGCGGTGACCGCGATGCCATAATGTGAGATTATGTACTCATGTACGGTGAACGCATGCGTAGGCGCATGCTTGTGCAACATCAATAAAAATCGCCTTTTACACGAAAGTGTGGTACTTGCTTTTCCAAAAAAAAGCCTGATCGTTGCCCAAGCACTATAGACGATCTCACTCGACACATATACCACAATAACACCACGCCGTGTCGCAAAGACAATACATTACATACACCCGATGACAATAGAGAATGTTATTGAATTCAACTATATATTATTTTACTTGACAATAGGATTTTTAACCGCATTATTATTTATTAAACATGTAGGCTAGTCATCTAGCGTCATTATAGTGTCACTTTATATAATAATGGTAATGAGCATACGGTTGGACTGATGACAAACCATCAGTCGAGGTTCAAGCTAGGCTCATTCATAAGCAATACTTGAGACGACAATTATAATAACCCAGGCCAATTTACAGAGCAAAATCTAGTTCCAAGCTAAGCAGAGCTTGTGTTATGGGTACTAGACAACTAATACATATACTTACATATTTTTTTTGTAAGTACATAAATAATTTAAACAGAAAACACCCAGATAATACAATTAATCATACTCATGAAAAAATGTTTGTACCGTGCAAGGAATCGAATCCGCGACCATCGGAGGGAAAACTTATAGAACGTCACGCCCCATCAACAAATAACCAATATTAAGAAATCGGAAAAGAGTATAACATAATAAGTAACCTGCATAAAAAAATACAACTTTGTAAAACAGGAAAATTTAATTATTTTTTATTTATTTCATTGTTTTGAGTTACAAGTCCCACAAGTTATTTTGGCTCAACGCCCGCGCGGTGCCGTCGTGCCCTGCCTAGCCAGGATGATTCACCCACCTTAACAATCAGAACCAATTGTTTTACAAAATTGGATTTATCTGTAAACTTGTTGAGATCGTAAATACTATTTGATGGATATGTATTACCTAGGCTAGACTTGCACGTAATCAATAAAAGGTGCGCCGATGTAGATCGGCCTGCGCCGTGAGCTAGACGCTACCAGCGCTGCCACTACTGTGTGTTGCTTCACATAGCTGCTCCCATGCATTAACGGCTCGTGAATAGTAGCCATACTTATTCGTCACAAAGTTGCGTTGTTATTATTGTTAACGGAGGATCGGTAACACACTTTCACTTTCAACATCGGAATCCCCGAAGCTGAGATCTCAACTGGCCTACAGTTGAGCTCAGACAAGCAGCATCGCCAGCCGACTTATCCGACGCGACTCCCAAAATGGTAAGAACTATCTATATATTATTATAAACATACACCGTTGGCTATACCTTGCGGCGGCCCTGACGATTCGCTTCTAAATATTTATTTCAACGAAGAGAACTTAGAGATCAATATATATATATATATATATATACATTTTATCACCATGACCTAGACTAAAAGAACGTTACAATATTGCGTCCAAAAACAGAATATAAAGAATTTTGTACAAAATAGTTCGAAACAGAGATTCAAATGAAACAGAAGTAACAAGTTTATTTAACTTTTAGAAAATCGCCACGTTCCTGTTCCTGGTGTTGTACTGTGGCGCTGCGCTCGTGACATGTGAGCAAGCTGCCACTAAAGATCTGAATGTGGAAGACAACGAAGATCTCGGACGGGGACGACGCAAGCGTAAGAAACAGCAGCAGAACGGTGGCAGTTGCGGTTACGGAAGAACATTCGGGGAGAAATTCTTCGGACTTCACGATTATACTTATGTGTCGGCGCCTGTCATGAACTATTTCTTCGGGTGTGGTTTAGCAGCGGTGCCGGTCGCCGCACCCGCCCCAGTCGCACCTATTGGACCTATCGCGCCTGCGCATCCGCTGCCTATATATCCCATACAGGTCAGCCAAAGTCAGAGCCAAAGCAATCAAGGCCACGGGGGGCACGGTGGTCACGGTGGACACGGTGGACACGGTGGACTTGGTGGACACGGGGGCTTCGGTGGTCCCGGTAACTTTGGTGGTTTCAATCAGGGCTTTCCGCAACGCCCGATTTACAATCGTCCTTACCTGCCACCCAACCGCCCCTTCCAGGGTGCTGTGTCAGCTGCAGCGTCAGGTTTTGGAAATGCGTTGGCTGACTATATCTCCCATCCCCGGACGCAGAAACAAATCAACAGACAAATAAATATGTTCTTCAGGCCGATCACCAAACTGTTTTAAGGTGATCCGCATCTGTGTTCTACCTATAGTGTTCTAGTGCAGTGGTTCTAATGTGTTACAGGATAGTAGATAGTAAGTATGAATATGCCATACTATATAGTCTACAAGTATTATCTTTAGTCGTGTAATTTAGGATATTCGTATTAAACTGTTGGCAAAATGATTTAACATGTTAGAAAGTTACAAATAAAGTTAAAACCCTTAAAGATTTTCAATATAGATTGACGTGAATAAAAAAAAATGTTTCGATAAATATTATAGTAGTATAGTAGACTTGTCTTGATTCCATAATGCAAGGAACTCGTTTCTGTAAAGTTAATTGCATTGTACGTTGTATACCTATATCTTTACAAAATTTGCAATTGTGACGTATATTAGTTGATAAGGTAAACCTGTTTTTGAATAATAATTTCCAAAGTATAACTCTAATGTTAACATATTGTAAGGAAACTTATTCCGATGATATCTGTGAATTATGCTGTTCAAATATAATAGTTATGATTATTAAAGTACAATAAGAAATAATATAATTAAATTATTGTTTCATTAACTATAACCGTAGGAAATATAACCTCGTTATTTCTCATATAACACCGTTACGTAAACGCTGTTCTGTTACCCATCCTGTTTAGGATTTGTTAATTTGGTAATACAAGCCACATTCGACAGTTTTCGATATATGTAAGTTTGAACTGAAACTTCTGCTGGAAGTAAGATCGAGTTCACCGTTGTTTTTTATTTTTAGTTGTAAAAGTATCGTTACTTTTTACTATAGTATTATTACTTCAGCGATTGTTACAAATACAGTATTGTACGGACTAATTGCTAAACCAATCAGAAATCGTTATAATATATTTTCGTTACATTTTTAATAAAATTGACAGCGTCTCATTTGAATATCGCAGTAGGTTTTTAATGGCTTTAGAGTTGTTTTGTTTTTGCTACTCAAGTTTAGGTTCCTCTCCATATTGGTCTCTAGAGTAACAACAATATCTGCTGCGACTATAATTAAGTCCTTGTGCATACGGTGAGACACATATATACACAAAGGCACAGATTTATTAAAAATATCAGAAGAAAACTGTAAATTTTGATGATTTTATTTTTGTATTCTTGGACTGAACCTGATCATTCGCAACCCCCTAAGAGGTTACAGGGATAGGTTTCGAGCGAGCCCCTCTGCCTTGGCATCAAATGGATTTACGCCTTATGTGCAGAAAACATAAGAACATTACAGCGTAACCTAACCTCTAAATATCGGCACTATTTATATATTTTGTTTTAGTTTGTTTATTTATGTGTTTTAGTTTTATTATTTTACAATTATTTATTTAAAATTTTCAGAAGAAAACTATGTATACGAAAAGTTACATGTATTTTATGAAATTCAGAGCAAAGCGAATCTATGTTCTCATTGTATCTACTGACGAACGTGTTCCTTCCCCTGCCATCGACCTATCAACTCCCGACTCTGGAGTCGTTTCACCAGCGTCTGAATATTCTACCAGACGTCACATTCTCATTAGATGGATTGATATGTTATATTACTAGATGACCGTAGTCTGAGGCGGGGACACTTCGCGAAAATAATATTTGAAACGCCAAGCTCTCTGAGTGTGTTTGAAACTATTCTCAGTGTTTCCATTACCAAAGAGATAGTTGGAAAAGAAAGTAATATGATATATAGATTATTTGAGAGCGGTACAGATTTTAATTCACTATCTTCTGAGTGTCAAGTAGGAATAGTAAACCACGACGTTATGTCAATAAGTTATTAAATAATACTATTATAGATGCTTACTTTGGTAAGTATATATTTGCTTGCGAATAAACCAGAATTGTTAACCAACAATTAACACATGATTTTACTTTTGTTTATTGTTTCTTAAATTGCTATAACTATACTCAAAGTATCATTCACACGCGTTGTTATTTATATGCTTGCGTTATATATAAGCGTCTTGCTGAGTACCTATATGTACGGGATTAGATTTATGCTAGTACTAAGCAAATGCTATGAATTTTCAAATTATTAGTTTCATTTTGTAAATGACTATAATGTATAGTATATTTGGATAACTGTAATGTATAATATAGAATAATAATATGTATAATCATTGCTTTGTCAAATTTAACGCGTGATTTATATTAATCGTAAATCGGAACACCAATGCAGTGCAGGTACAGTGTGACCGGGCGCGCGTTGAGAATTTCAGAGCGAAATTAAATGCGGTACAATAGAGGATGTATATCATTTGCTGATGGAGTGTGTCAGGAACGATAGTCTACGACATAGAATAACGTGAGACCATATAATAAATATGGATATTGGAGCCATACAAAGTGTTTTAGCCGATCGTTCAGATGGTGTGGCTAAGGCAATTTGTTCACTGTTGATGTAATGGAGTAATTAGTTTTAGGGTACAATGGGACTGTCATGTACTTTTACATTGCACAGAAATCCCTAAATTTTAAAAGAAATTGAAAAAAAGTCTATTATAAATGGCACACTTCACAGTTGTCACAGCAAAGAGGAATATTAAAAGCTCTTGGAAAACAATAAAACAAATAATGCAAAATAAATTTGTAAAAGAATAACATTTTGGTAGGTATCTAAAATTATAATTTTCTTTAAATTAAGGTGGTAAGCCTAACTTTGTTATATCTAATGTATCCATTCTTGGGGACTAACATATCATAACTTTGTACCGTGTAATTAAAAACTTATTTTTAACTAATTTATAGTGTGAGTATATGCTCTATTCATTTAGGTCTTCATCATAATTATCTATATAGATGTCAAATGATTGTCGCTAATAAGTTATATATAGATGTAGTTAGTTATTATAATTGAAAACAATTATCATAACTGACTGGTACAAGGAACATCTCTGAATATCTCTCGGTAAAAGGTTCTAAATTATAAGGAAAAACTACAAGAGGGAAACCAAGTAGCCTAAGTATTTATGTAAGTGATATACTTGGAGGAACAATATTAAAAATAATAATAATAAAAAGCAAAACGACAAAAAATACAATAAACAAAAAGTAAGTATTAAAAAGCACACAAAACAAAAAAAAAATGTCCCCAGGCACAACTTCTTAAGTTAGATTTAGTTATTTAAATGTTATTACTCTCCTTATTAGTCTTAATTCAACCCATCCGGGGCTTGTTGGCCCCGAGGTTGATGCCGGGCAAAGGGGTTCGCCAACTTTCACCTCCCTATGGGAGTGCGGATGATTACTCGTAGTATATCCTCACAGTTCAGCAGCACTTATTACTCACAACAATAATATAATAATTCTAATACTGTTCCGATATCTTTACGGCACAATTACAATGGCGTCGCTATTTACTCTTTACAAAAAAGGTTTACTTTTGTCGTCAGTCCTCGATACTCCTACTCGTAGGACCAATATGTTTAACGGATCCAATAAAATAATACCAGTTCTTTTTATCCACTAGTGTTTAATATTAAGTAATTTACAAAATAAAAAATGAATTATTAATAAGCCATGTTATGGTATCAATCTTTTTATTATAATAATTTTCAAATTTCGAATTTAGAATCATTACGTAAATAAAAAGTAAAACATACTTAGATGGCCATGGAGGTTTTATATTCGTACTTAATCAATATATGTATATTGATTAAGTACGAATATAAAACCTCCATGGCCAATCATGTAAGAACTATATATATGTATATATAGTTCTTACATGATTGTCCCTAATAAGTTATATATAGATGTGGTTAGTTACGATAATTAGAAATAATTACCATAACTGACATCTGGGTAACTGGTTCTAAATTATAAGGAAAAACTACAATCGTCCATCTATGCGAAATACCTATCACTGCGAGTATTTTTACGGCAGGTTTGTGTAATTTAATTTTCAGGCAACTTAGGTTGAGAACTTTTATAGAAGCGCCTATACACGGTCCTAACACGCGAGAGGCTGTGCTCAATCAATCCGATATAGACCACTGATTTTCGGATCATGTGTAGACGCTTCAATATGTGCAATATAGCACACAACAGAGTAGGTATGGTATCCTATTACCAGAGTTATAGATTTTCTGCAACTGCACATTCTGTAATGTTGTAACTGTTAGATTTGAACAATACTAACGAAATCGCGTATTACGTTCACGTGAAGAGGTACTTGTTTCTGTTTTACTAATCTTTCAAGATTGAGATAGTGCTTGAGTTCTGTAATTAGATACAGTTGGTGCGTGAGAACAGATGATATGAGTAGATAAGTCAGTAGCATTATTGTATACAGATTTTAGAAATAGAAAACAATCGGTAGTCTTCATTGGATGTCTGATGTATATATACAATACAAGTTTTAACATTATAACCTATGATTCATATTTTAAGAGTATGGTGGAATATTCTGAGAGCAAATTGGCACACAATAATTTAAACCTCGGCTGGATTCGAACATTATATTTCGGCGGGGTGGTCACCACCAGGCCAAGCCGCTCTAAACTTTTCTGATAACATATTGTGTAAGTTATTTATTACATACGAAGTAATATAAAACTTATTTACATAATAACTTAAAATACATAATAGTCTACTCAATATTTTGCGTTAATGCGCTGTGGTAATCAGCACTTAACAGTGTGTGCTACTGCGACATGGAACTATACTCGGGTGGGCGTTGACATTTCAGTTCTAAGAGACAAATTATCAGATAAAACGATTAGGTACCATATATCGATTAGGTATATATACATGCACACGTTACATATATGGATGCCCAACATAAATTAAAGCGATGTAATATATCCCCCGTGTACGAAACCATTCCACATTCATCCATTAAAAAAATCCAAATAGGTACATAAATCTCGTTTCAATGCATTTAGATGTAACGACAGTTCATTTGTGTTACAAGATTACATATTACACTTATCTATATTAAGTGAGGTTGAATGATATTCATATTCAATAACATTATTAGCGATATGACAAAGACCGTGAAGATCAAGTTTCTATAACATGGCTGAGCGCAAAGATGACAGCCTCACACGTTGTATGTACATACTTGTAGGGACTGGTGAACAGGTGCTGCTTGTAGGGACTGGTCTGCTTCGATAGCTACGACTGATTTATTTTGTTATTGTACACAAAATACACACGTAACAATGTACACGGAATCTTAAAAATGTAATGCTGAACAACATTTATATAAAAGAGCAATACGCAAGTTTATTACTTATTGTTCTTGTGATGAGTCTGGTTTCTGAATGAGTGGTAGAATAAAAAACTATGACTATTCAAAAGTGCTTATATTAACTATATTTGAGAATAAAGATTATTTCAATTCTATGATGTGGATATTGAAATATATTTTTTCAATTTCAGCAATGTTTCGGAAGGGTACGGCATGTTCAAGTCTCGGGAGCAGATCCTGCCTGCGGACAAGTCGCAATATCAATTGGAGGATGGTAACGAGCCGGAACCAGCGCCTGGTTACCAGATCACTCATCCTACATCGTGAGTCTCGCAAATTATAACCTTCCACAACAGACATCGCTGGTAGTTCCAATTAGTTCTTAAAGGTGCTGTTTTTCTATAATATGTCACTTATGAAACATAATTTACGTATTTATCTTTCCCATAAGTATTTTATATAAATCGGTACGATATTGATCCTTTCTGGTTAATTATGCTCCATTTCAGCAATATTATTTACCACCTAGTTAGTCAACTTCCATAATATACTCTATAAATTTCTTAGACGCCTTCGAAATATTATTAGCAACTGATATATTTTATTAAGTGCCCCCTTTTTTCTTATACAAGTATTTTAACAGGAGTTCTTCTTTCTTTTTTCTTATAAGGATATTTATTAGTTTGGAACTTATTTATGTTATTCTATAGTGCCAATTAACGAAATCTAGATAAAAATCAAATAACGTTGAAAAAGAACAATATTTCAAAAACCATAATTGTTACTGTGTTTAGTACCTATTAATTAATTGAGATAGGTCATCTATCTCAATTAATTAATAGGTACTAAGGTGGTTTTAACAGAGCATAGTTTAAATAAATACAGTGTAGAATTGCACTAGAAACTTTAAGACCTGTTAGAACTGTTATGAGAGCACTGTTTTCTTTACCAAAATACATACAGTCGTAAATGTACTATTGTAATAATTATTTGACATGTTCATTTTATTATACATACATAAACGTTGATCTAGAAACTTGTATGTTTGGTAACTTTCCGACTAAGTAGTTTTAGGTAGGCGTTGTCCTAAGTGATTATATCAAGTTGAACAATTTTTTTTATTGATAGTGCTACAACTGAAATGGGATTGTATTTTAAGAGTTCAACGAAAGCCATTTATTATTTTTTATAGAACCACTTAATTACTTTTGTATTTTGTCAAGTTACAATTTATTTATAACATTTATAAATCCATATACATGGCATACAAACACCCGATGAGGCATGACTTATTACATAAAAATGGGTTGAACGCATTAAAACATTTATGACAATCTACGTAAAACAGTGCGTAGGATTTAAGTGTCATCTAAGTGCCAGTTTAAATAGGTATAAAGTTGTCTCAGGACGGCTTATTGTACGAGTTAACACTCGTTATATTCAGTAACTACCTCCTTTTTTATGTCAAGTATTTAATTGCAGTGACGGTACTGATCGTAAACCACAATATGTGGTAGAACCATCAATCTAAATACGTACATATTGCACAGGGAAAACCTATTTCACGATGAATTAATTAAAATACTTAAGTTATAAAGCATTTATTCGTCAGTGTAAGTTACATATTTATGTAGGGTTTAAATTATGGCTGAAGATGTTGCATTTTCAATGAGTATAAGTTGTATAATTTACCTATCTCACAACATTAGCTCATATAACATTAGCTATTATGTCATACACATAATGTTATTAACATTATGCGTTTGTCCTGATGTGAGCTAATGTGTATCAATTAAGTATGAAATAGATACTAATAGAATAGAGTTTTTCCGAACTTATAGTAAAGCTGTTTAACGCAGCTGGCATTTACACTACTGCAGCAACAAATGGAAGAAAGCAATGCAATAATGCATACGACATTTTACAAAATCTATCTAGGAAGGTTCTATGATGAATTTAGCCAAGTACATTGCTATTTTAATATACCTCTTAGATACAACTAGAGGTAAATTGAAATACTATTCATGTATTTGATTAGACTTGAACTCAATTATCTCACGTGAATGGTGCCGGATATGTTGAAATCTCGTTATAACAACAATATGTCTGGAACGTCAAAAGCAATTTAGTACTAACCCCATAGAGGAGGAAACTATTAATGGGTTTAAGACACGTACATGCTGTCGGTGTACATCTTTAGTCTGTATGGGGTGGAAGTCAGTTGCAACGAAATCAACTACCTCGACTGTGACTTGACCTTGACTCTGATTAAAAAAAAAAGTCTTTTATCAACGATACTTTCACGCGCGATCAGGGACGCGAAAACCAGCATGCTAAACGATGAAAACTTACTTTTTTTGGGGGTACTCCTTCGTGATTGATCGTTTGTATATTTTATGTCAATACACTTTCTTTTAAATATTTTTTTACACTATTCATTTTATTTTGTATTTGTATTTTTATATCCCACATACTCGTAATTCATTAATCTAAGGAAATGTTTATGTATTTTTTATATATTTTACAATGATAATTTAATATTTTAAAAAGGCGGGCGGTGTGAGCTGGCGTCGCTCGCGGTTTTATTTATATATATATATTTTCTTTCCTGTATCCGGTATGAAAGTCGATTTGCGCCTGAAAGATCCAAAAGCATGTAATGAGTATAATATTTCAGTTTATTGCCAATTCATCTGAACTGACTCAATTGATTTATAGAGTAGGTTTAAAATAGTACTACGAATAAATGGATATGACTTTAAAGTAATAATTTACATCGTGGCTGAAATACTAACTGAATATTGAGTGCTAACTTTTATATTGAAGGTATGCCGATACCCTTCTCCATATACTCCGCGGCAACATCGGCAGCGGGCTGCTGGCGATGGGTGACGCCTTCAAGAACGGAGGTATCTTGTTCGCACCCATCGTGACCGTCCTACTGGGCATTATATGTGTACATGCCCAGCACTTATTGGTAAGCGATTGACTATCAACAGTTCCTTCTTCTGTGTACTCCCTGAACATCAAATGTTACTGATTGTTGGGAGGACTTTAGGATGCTGGTAAAATATTATTAAATGCTTTTAATTATATTTGAATCTCTACATAGTATAAAATAAAGTCGCTTCCACTGTCTGTTCGATTAGTTTTTTAAGGTTAAAGTTGCGTAGTTACGCAACGGATTTTATTGCAGTTTTTAGCAATATAGATAGTGATTCAAGAGGAAGGTTTGTATAGTATATGTACACCCTGCGATACTGGGGCAGGTAGCTAGTATATTGTATATACTAGTGCTAATATATATATTATTATACTGAGCACCTTATGGTAAAGGAACAAAACCAGAGATATAGTAAAATAATGGTGCCACCTTACCCTACGGTAAGTCTAACCTCAATATATGAAATAATTAGTTGTTGCTTGCAACAATTGATAACCAGTGTTAATACTTATAGTATTAACATCGCGCATACTGCCATAATGCGCTCATCGTCCTACTGCGGCTGCGCGCCGTCCGTAAATTTTGAATCTGTGGCGCGTTGCGTTTGCGCGGCAAAAACTATCTACAAAAATAACTTTTTCTACTATTGTACTTCTGATTACTAATTTTTTATACTGTTCTTCATTACAATATATAGCTGTAAATTACTATTATTAGAATAAACTTCTTACATACAACGAAAACTGGCATATAAATAAAGCCCCTAATCATACCGCTAACAACCAGTGTTATCAATCATGCCAATAGGCTTGTAGTGTAATAATGTCGCTAGTCCTATCAATTATAACCAGGTAGTAGATGATTAAGAAAGTTGTGTTATAAAACTTAGTGAAAGTCAGCTGCGGTTTCGAGGGTGGGAGTGGCACCTTCGCAACCATGTTAAGAAAAACCAACCCTCGAAACAGTAGTTATATATTTTTTTTTATAATTACAAATGGCATATAGCTAGAATTCCCTCTTCCAAAAAAACGTAACTTGTTTGTAGGCGATGCCTTGTGGTGCTTCCTTACTCGTATTAAATATTTTATGTAAATTAAGTTGCAATCAGTAGGTTTTCACTTTCAAGCTATATATAGTACAAACATTATTGTTATTAAACTCTACTATATTTAAACAATTTTTATATTAATGTAAGTATTTTTCTCAATGGCAGTTAAATTGTTCAGAAGAGATGAACCGACAGACAAAAAGGGACAAGTCTGCTAATTTCGCGGACACTGTGTACCTGGTGTTCGCGCACGGCCCGCCACGTCTGCGCCCAGTCGCCTCCACCATGAAGTTCTTAGTCAACGGCTTCCTCTGTATCACACAACTGGGCTTCTGTTGCGTCTACATAGTGTTTATAGCGAACAATCTGAAATTGGTGAGAACTTTAGCTCTCCTGTAGTTCTTAGTCAACAGCTTTCTCTGTATCAACCAACTAGTCTTCAGTTGCGTCTAACTAGTGTCCATAGCGAACAATCTGAACCTGGTGAGAAGCGCATCTGTAATTCTTAGTCAACGGCTTCCTCTGTGTCTCACACATATGTATGTCACAACTGAACTTCTGTTGCGTCTACAGAATGTTTATAGCGAACAATCGGAAACTGTCAATAACTTTTGGTCATCGATTGAATTTTTAGATTAATATTAATGAAGATAAATATACAATAAAGGACACTTCTATTGGCAGATTTGCGACCAGTACGGCTTCAATATAGACCTCTCCATCCACATGATACTGGTAGTAGTGCCGGTGCTACTGGCATGTATGGTTCGCAACCTGAAGTACTTGACGCCTTTCTCCACTATCGCCAACATAATGATGGCGGTTGGCGTAAGCATGGTGGTGTACGAGGCCGCCCAGGATCTGCCACCCGTGAGCACCAGGGTCTACATGGCTACGTGGCAGCAACTCCCGTTGTATTTTGGAACTGCTATATACGCGTTTGAAGGCATCGGACTGGTGAGTAATTAATGTTAAACTGTAATAATAATCCTTGACAATTCACACAGTCTTTCAATCTTTTCTTATTCTTGCTTGTTTTGCTAATTTGTTTGCTAGGAAGTATTAATGCTTCCTAGCAAACAAATTAAAACTGCCAGCTATTAAAGCTATAACTGCCAGCGGAATAAGAAAATATCTCCTTGCATTTTGCTGTTTCGACTGTTGTTGAATTAACGAAAAGGAATGTAGTAATAAAACGGACGGGCGATTAATTGTAGTCCTATGGATTTAAATGGTTTCGAAGAGGTTCTATTATCAAAATATTGTTACGTATCAGGTATTGAGTAGTTTTTTAGTGTTTAATTTGGGCGCGAGGTCGTTTATGTGAGCAGGTCGCCGACACGCTGCCCTCTCTATCTCCGACAGTGGCTCGTCGGCCCTGCCCTACATGCACACGAATACTTCGTACCATCGTACAAAATTAATTCCTAATGAACATTCCAAGAAAGGAAATCTGATTAGAGTTGTTTATTTTATATAAACACTATCTGACCCCGCAAACGTTGTTTTGCCATTATAAATTAGAATCGCTCTCAAAAATTTGTTTTACAAAATACTGTTAAAAAACCTTATATTAAGTTAATTCGAATAAACATTATTTTTATTTTATACTATCTAAACGTTATAAAAAAACTAATAGAATGGATTATAAGTATATTTGATTAAGGACATGATCTATCGATGAAATTTCGATTTGATCTTGATTCAATCGCGACATGGTTATTACCCGGCTGATTACCATTTCCTTATAAATATTTTTTTATTCTCTTTCGGTGTTATTCAAGTTCAGTGAAAGGGAAGGAAAAGGAATAAAATACGCGTTAGTTTCTTTTCCCTTTTTTCTTTGCACATAACGAATATTGTAATTCGTATCCAACGATTAGCTAATAAACTGTTGTTTTGTCACGCTTACTTTTGACATCTACAATCTTAGTTGTTAGGTACTAAATACTAAAACCGATCAGAATTAAATTGAATTTAACAGAGCATTATGAGCTTGAGTAGATAAATGAATTAAACAGCGATCGTTGAATGCAACCACTGGAGCGAATATGAAAAAATACGTGCTATTGTCCGTGTAACTGGGTAACTGTGAGCGGTAACTGAGCAGCAACAAAAGGTGCATGCTAATTGTCACCAAGTTGTTTACATACCGTGGCACGTCCTTGATTGATGACTACCACCTAGGACCTAGTTGGTACCTATCTACTGATGTCCTACAGCGGCTTATAATATGACAGGGCATGTAATAAACCACATGTGGCCTCGGGGCAAACCCTTTCGATTCTGGGGACATCAATCACTACGAATTGAATTTAGGCCTTTTAATAGGCACATAAGTAAATTATATTTTGCAAGATATAAATATACGTACTACTTAGCACTAAGAATCTCAAAATATTAGGATTCTGCTCTCCTTTCTCTATATAAACAATAAGTGTGCGAAATTTCATACTCCTCCGTCCGCGCAACGAATAGTTTTTGCTTCATGTATTAATTTATAGATTTAGAAAACTACTACTAGTGTACTCAACTGCATTAATATCTCTCAACGTTGTGGTGCCAATACTCAATAGGCATTTCTAGTAAGAAACGTGCGAACACTTTTTACAGAGTCGCAAAGCCTCTATTTCAATTATTTCTGCAATGCAGCCTCCTTGTATTTTATTTTGTAGACAAATCGTAGACGAATGGCAACACGTAAGGGGACATTTACCTGATAGAATAAAGTATTTTTGTACCAATAAAAACAATCATATTTAGGTATATATATACAAATGTTGGCATTGTGTGAGGAAACAACCCCGCGATCATAGAATGTAATGCGGTGTACTAAACCGCTAGACCATTAAGGCTGTGTGAATGTGAATTCCTATACCATTCTGAGAATTTATATATAGCTTTTATTATTATTATTATTATAACATATATTTTTTATTTATTATTTTAGGCTTAGCAGCAATTAGCTTATGAATAAAAAATATAGCCATTAGTATGGCTCATATTATAAATACCTTATAGATTAACATACATAATAACAATATAAATCGTCTCTGTGGTCATGGCACTGACGACGGCAATCTGCTACGGTAGCGCTGATACACCTTTTTCAGCTAGTAGTCACCCTTTATGTGCGCAGCATGTTAGTGGAAACCCGAGCCACAAAAAAATCGCGTTGATTCGACTCCACCTGCTTCACTCTCAATGTCAGATTCCTCTTGGTCCGTATGTAGTCGCGAATGTTCTGCTTGGTAATGATTGTTCTCTAGTGTATGTTAATCGAATATAAAATTGATTTTCATCAGGTATTGCCTTTGAAGAACGAGATGCGCCGCCCGGAACATTTCCAGAAGCCGTTGGGTGTGCTAAATGTGGGCATGGTGGTGGTGGTGTCGATCGTGGTCACAGTCGGCTTCCTTGGGTTCCTCAAATGGGGTGATGACGTGCAGGGCAGTCTCACACTTAATTTGGCACCAGGCGTGTAAGGGTCCTTATAATTACTGTTGCACCAGAAACTTCCAAGATTTCAACATTTTCTCATCCATCCACAACACATATAATAACAATAATAATAATCCTCAATAATTTAGACCCAAGCTAAGAAGAGCTTGTGTTATGGGTACTTGAAAACACATAAATTTGTACCATGAGAGGATCGAACTTCGAAAGCAAAGCGGAGTAAGTACGAAATAGATAGACTAACGCGGCAGTTAATGCGATACAATATTAAGGAATTCAATAAAAGAGTAACTTCATTAAAAACCTACAGTGCACCTGTAATTCCTCAAGGGCACAGCCGCATATAGGGAGCACTAAACGCTTACCATCAGATGAGTCGTGTTCCCTTTGTCCCCAAAGTCATAAATTTGTGAAAATTGGCATGGAGAGGAAATATAAAAATAAATGGATAAATGTTTTTATCAAAGAAACACTCAAGTTTCATACTCGTTCTTCTTGTTCAGAGACAGAATTCCGAATTGGTCGGTAGATTAAAAAAAATATGTTTATTTGAATAAAGATTTCCCTTTTTAGTCTGAATATAATTTTAGTTTCTATTATTTCTTAACTGTCCGCCAACATAAATGTACGTTTACTTGTTGCAGTCTGAGCAATGTGGTGCAGAGTCTGATCGCGCTGGCGATACTCTTCACGTACCCGCTCCAGTTCTACGTTCCTATTGACATCACGTGGCCGTACCTGAGGAAGAAATTCGCCACGACCTCACCAATACTCAAGGAACTCGTATACAGAGGACTCCTTGTGATGATCACTTGTGAGTATTAGCTACAATCAATCATTCTATATACGTTACTAGCGTTACGGCTTTGCACGAATGCATTACAAATCTTTGAATTTCTCAGCTCGTTCTATATAATACACGCATGTATTACGCTAAAAACTGCAATAAAATCCGTTGCGTAATTTAAAAGATACGATAAGATTACAGAATTTTATAAACAATAACAATTTTTGCACTTATTTACAAAAATATATTTCAACATATTTCTAAGTTTAGTGCACACAATAATGTTACTTGGTCGACCGTATGTTCTACAATGTTCGATAAACCAATCTAACTTTGAAGCCCGGTTATAGGAAAACCCGATTGTCATGAGACAATTTCTAATATATGTATTTATATATTACATACTATACATATCTGTATATATGTACATTGTACAATAAACATACATTAAGATGTACATACTAGCTGTGTCCGCGAAATTCATAGTCTATATCTTATTCTGATGTATAAGCTATATTACTGTAAAGTTTCATCAAAATCCGTTAAGTAGTTTTTGAGTGAAAGAGTAACAAACACCGATACTCACAAACTTATGCGTTTATAATATTATTAAGATACTATTTTTATTCAATATTAGATATATAATAACATTTAATGAAGAACATTACGTAGTATCTGTACTACACATAAAGTATAGATACTAACATAATATTGTACGTATAAAGTCCTAAATCATTATTGCAGTTATATTGGCGGAGTCGGTACCAGAGCTGGGCCTGTTCATATCGCTAGTGGGCGCCGTGAGCAGCACAGCGCTGGCGCTTATGTTCCCGCCCATCATCGACATGGTGCTCAGGTCGCAGCAACCGGATGGCCTGCGCCTCCACACGGCCGTCAAAGATTGCGCCATCCTCCTGCTCGGCCTCGTCGTGTTCGTTACAGGCACTTACGAGAGTTTAGCATCCATCGTGAGAGCGTTCAGACAGTAATTCAAACTACCTAGCTATATCCTCGTCATTAAGGTAATTGTTACATATAGTTGTAAGTTAAAAATTTGATCTTTAACATTAATTACAGTGTACATCAATTCTTGTATGTAATGAAATTATTATAAACACAAATATTCAGCATTAGTATCCAAATTGTTAGATATTAATAAGAGTAGTTGTTGTAGTTTATGGACTACTAAGTGACATCAACACCTACCTGGAACTAGTAATAGAATAAATATAGTGAGAATATTTTTACGTGTATTACATATTTTTAGTTATTATACGAATTCGTAAAATAAGAATAACAGGGTATCACGGAAAGGACAACAACCGGAAAGTAAGACATGCTCGAAATGGAGAAATAATTCTTGAATTTCATATCTCGTTATCGCGCCTGTCTTCTGAATAGATTTCAAAGAACAAAACAAACAATATCGGAAGACTTATACTTTTCTGAGCTAAAAACTTATTAGAATGTCACTTTTAAGAATAATGGCAAATTCTCGGAATGGTGAAAATTTGGATTATTTTATAGTGACTGTGTACCTTCCTATCCGTTACAACCTACATACATGTATGTAGAGATATGTTTATATAATAATATTGTATTAAAATATAGTAAGAACGTGTGTGATACTAATTGTACAGGGATACACATCGCAGCTGACGCTGCTCTGTTTTATAATATTGTTAATATTTATTTGTATTAAGGCAGGTATTTTAATTTATAATTTATGCTTTATGTGTTTTATGTATAATTAAGTGTAGTATCTAAACTTATAGTTTTATATTTATGTCCATCTGATGTTATACGATAACGCATATTATATTTCATTATTAGTATTAAGTATGTAAAACATGATTGTCATTACATTGATATGCATATTTTACATGCGCAGAAATACATTATTTCAACAATAAATAGGCAATAGACTGTATAAGAAGTACCTACTTTAGTGTTATGATTTATCTTTAATACTTACATTGGGCCGGGCGTTACTAGTAACGAATTTTTAAATCACTCGCAAGTGGTTGTATTATTTCTTCTGTGCATATATTAATGATATGTCAATTGTTATTCACAACTGTTATTCCTATGTTATCCATTTTTAAATAAGGTCTTATATATTACATCTATGTACGTCTTGAAGTGTAATGCCCAAATATTGGTCATGATTATTTGTAAAGTAAATCACTGTTTTGTCCAGTTCGGCTTACTTTAATCGCTAAATCGTCGACTTGACTCTGCTGGTTTCGGTTTTGATATTAAATTACTTAATGTGTGTTATTTTCTAACATTAATTTATAATATAAAAGCCATTTATTATTTTTATTAATAATCTATTTTGTTATTCATCCACCACCTTTGTGTAGAAACAAAACTATTTTTTGTCATTTTGTCTCTACACAAAGATCTTCAAATCTTTCTAAATATCTTGTTAGTATATTCTTGTATTAGATGCTTTATAAAGAGTTTATAAATAAATTTCCAAAGCAATCCGAACTGGAAGTGATTAAAAATAATCCGGCTGTGCGCCATTAAGTAGTTGCGAGTTGGATTATATATTATAGATTTATTGATGTCTAAATGTAACGGTAGGTCGTCTGTGATACAAATAAACAGGGCAGCATTTAATGGAGTCCCATAAATTTATGTAGTTTTATTTGCGATTTTTCTTTATTAGGTATATGAATAAAGCAGGTAACTTAATTACTATGTTTATACCTCTTGCAACAACAAGCAAGCCAAGGTAAATATGTATGTTGGAAACTTAGACGTAAGAGAAAGATTGGGGGCATACAACTAGGAGGAGCAGAACAAAGACACAAGTATACCATTCAGAATACAGTAGTTTATTTCACATTTGTGACAAGAATACCTTAAGTAAATACAATACATGTTTGCAAAATGTTTAAGAATACATTAATTATAGGAATCAATTATTACAATTCTCAGTACGTCTGCCTACCTACGAGTACATCACTTTAGTATGAAAACACATATTTCATCATACATATAATAAATACATAGCAAACTGAACTTAATCGAGTTCCTCTTAATAGCAAACTAATCACTAATTGCGACGGATATGAATAAAAAATTGCCAGTTTACATACTGTTCTCTACAATTAAATGTAAAACATTTTTATACTTTGTCACAATGACAATTTATTAGTCTAACGTGTAAATTGTTTGGAATTGTCCATGTCGTCACAGTGACAAAATACTAAAGTGTTTACAAATTATTGCACGTATAGTATCATACTGTACAGTACGATTGGATGTTGATGATCTCCGGACAAGGTCAGTTTGTAAATCAGTCGGCGCCAGTGGCCGGTGCACAATATCAGTCCGTGCGATATTGCACGTATCACATATTTTAGTTTCATTTACACTATTCCAAAAACGTTAATTTTCGAATCAATATTCTCGGATATTCAGGATGCATTATTTAAAGGCGTAATCTGGTTGATATTATTAAGAGAAGTTTCCTAACGACATGTACGAGATGCATGGCGCACCGGACTGACATGTGTATGTGCACCAGTCAGTAGGCTGTACTGTGTATTTTGCTTCGATGGAAGAATGGGACATAGAAATGAGTTTGATAGGACATAGCAATGGAGGTATGATACCTGAAACCTCCGGAATGGGAACAAATAAGTATAACTATTGTCCAATAGCTTTAGCGTTATATTAATAGAGATTACAGCCATATAAGCACGCATTTATTTTTCGTTCTAAACTCTATCATACCATTGTGTCGATTATACAAACACGACCTCAAGAAGTTCCACACTGCTTCTGTTGTGTCGTGAATGCCCGAATGTTACAAGTAATTCGTAAGTAATGACTCAAACTAGACAAAACCTTAATCTATATACATATTCAACATGATACAAAAAGTAAGCACATGAATTACATAATAACGTATCTACCATATTTTATAAAGTTCAATACACTGGACCTATAATGTCAATCGATTCAATACTATTACTCAAATATAGACCTCAACAAACATCATAAAATTATTGGAGCAGATTTCTCGACTAGTAAAAGGTTCCAATTAACGTAGTAGACATTTACAATACTTATACCTATCGTTAGTTATATATAACTAGGCTTGTCGCATGTTGAGCGGAGCGCGTATATTCTTAAAAACTTTAAAATTAAATTAGTTTCAGTAGCGCGTAATTTTTTTCCGCCATGCTAAGTCTATGGCAATCTTTATCGCCGATTCTTTCATGTTGGGCTGGATATTTTTTGAGTGGCAAACGATAGAGGTCAGTTTTGATGTCGATCGGTCAAACCATTTCGGAGTGTCGTTACAAAGAGTGACTGAAAATCTCATATCGAGATCACTCCTTGCTTCGCGCTCCGTTCAATAACCTTACGTACTACACAAATATAATTTAATTTAACTATGCTATATAACTCAGTCAAAATAATTGGAAACAGTCTGATTTATGGATGGATGGATAATACACTCCATTATGTCGTTTCATTTATGGATTACTATAATTGATTTGCGCTCAGAATAACGACCTTGAGAAAATATGAAAATAATGTCAATTTGTGTTATCTCAAAAATCGTTAAGTCTATAATTTATTTCTCTAGTATGTTTACATTCTTACAATACATATATCAAAACACGTACATATAACATTTGTTAATCAGGTTTTACAACTATACTACTACAATCATAATGAGTATAATTTAACAATTAATATGGATATTCGTACTACATAAAAATAAAATTCAACTAACACTACACAGTCACTATATGTCGTCAAAGCATTAAGTCGCTAATTATTAGTAAATAAAAAAGAACTATAGTCGGTAATAATATTCCAGACAAAAATGTTAATAAATGTATATAATTATTCACATAACTGTAAGCATCCTTAAGATGGTGCTGCAATGGCAATTTGTTCACTGGTAAAGTGACTTAGTTATTTGTTAATACGTCAAAGCAATAAATGAATGCACATTATCCAAACACCTCGTGCCGTTATCTACCAGGCAACTACGGGCGGTGTTGAGAATGATTGTTGGCGGAACAAAATAAAAAAAAAGCAAGTAAATATTACGACACCGAAATAATTGCTAGAACTGATTGCGATCAGAAAAATTATGAGAAATGATGACGGATCAGCTAATTAATTAATGAATAGGAAAACGATGTCAATTTGCATTATCATAAAATCTTTTAATTATATTATTTATGTATAGTAATATAATCACTTTCTTACATACTATACAGGTTTTAAATACATATACATATAATAATTCATCATGTGTTTATACAACTATAGGATTACCTACTCATAATACTTACCAATTAATATAGATAGTCGTACCACATTTAAAAATACAGTTTAACTAACACTATATAATCACTAATGTCGCCAATACTTAATCACGAAGTCAACGTTCGTCAGTTTTGAGAATGCTTTTTTGTTATACTGATGAGAAAAGAGGTCAATATGAATTATCTTAAAAAAATTGTAGTTCTATAATTTATGCAACATAATGCATTCTTATTCAGTATGTATAAATTTTAAAACACATACATATAATAATTATTAATTAGTTTATACAACTATACTATTACCTACTCATAATGAGTATACTCATATGAGTAACTTAATAACTATTTATCAACTTCGGACCACATATAAGAATACTATATAACTAACGCTATATACTACACCTACTACTATACGTCATCAATGCATAATAATGAAAAAGAATTATATATGGTTATGAAATTCCAGACAAAAAATGTTTATAGATTTATTTACATAACTTGAATGAAAATAATACGAATTAAGAGTACCAATGCCGGATTTAACACGCCAACCACGGGTGATTTTGAGAATGACTGTTGCTGATGCTAATGTAACTACATGAAAAAAAAAAAATGTCACCACACCGAAAACTGTAGTTCTATAATTTATATAACATAATATATTCTTATTCAGTATGTATATATTTCAGAACACATACATATAACAATTATTAATTAGTTTATACAACTATACTATTATCTACTCATAATGAGTATATAACTTAATAACTATCTAACAACTTCGGACCACATATAAGAATACTACATAACTAACGCTATATACTACCCACTACTATACGTTACTTATACTATAAGTCATCGATGCTTAATAATGAAAAAGAACTACATATGGTTATGAAATTCCAGACCAAAAATGTTAATAAATGTCATTTAAAAATATATAATAATATATATAAATGAAAATATTACCACAACGAAATATTGGTCGAATTGAGAATAGAGAATGAGAAAACGACGTTAATTGAGTTATCGTATTGTAAAATGTATGTAAAAGCTGTAGCTCTTTTAATAATACATTAATACACATACACATACAATAATACATTTATTAGTTTGAATGCTTTTTTGGGCCGGGACTATATAATATACAAGATAAATCAAATATTGGCTATAATATTTGATAATCCTTATCCTAGTGGATAATAAATAATTCAATAGTGGGTTTGATAGTTCAAACCCACTATTGAATAATTTATTACGATGGTTAAAAACAGACCAACTAATAACCGATATTAGTTGGTCTGTTTTTAACCATTCGGACCATATATAAAATATTTCCGCGCTTACACTATCCTCTGAACTCTATATTCTATACATTTTAAATGAGCGAGATGAGGGAGGCTGATGAATAAACGGCCTCAGGTACTTCTAGAAGTTTGTGATACCTCAGATGGTGTTGTCTCAAGTTCCATGGATGGTATGTCAATAGACAACGTCTCAAA